TGGGCAGAGGGCAGGAGGTGGGCTCTAAGAGCAGCGCTGTGGGGGGACCGCAGGCAGGGTTTAGGGGCCAGCTCTGGCCTTGGGCAAGTCTACCTCCTCGGGCCCCCCTTCCCCCAGGGCTCCCAGCCCCTCCCAGCCCTTGGCGTCCCTGACTCTGTCCCCTCTTCCAGCCCTGGCTCCGGCCTGGAGCTTGGAATCTTGGAGCTGGACGGGATGTTGGAAGGCCGTGGCGTCCACCCCACCCGGGCAGACATCCTCTCTCTAGCATCCCCTGAGGGGGTCATCCAGAATGCAGGGCGTATGCCGTCCAGCCCACTCTGGATACAGGAAGATCTTGCTGATGTGGCTGAACCCTGTCTCTGAATATTCTCTGCCCATTGGGTGTAGGTGGGTTTCATCGTGAGCCCCTGGGTGACCAAGGCTGGCTCTCTGAGATGGGGAGTCTGCTCACCCTACTGTTCCCTGTGAGAGCTCCTCTTCCCTGTTTGAGCCCAAAACTCCCACTGTGCCTGTTTTCCTCTGGGGTGCCCAGAGGCCCTGGTGTGCCCCCCACACCCCTCCGAGGACCCCTCCTGATCAGGGAGCAGGGAAGCTGTTCTGTCTCCTGAAGACATCGTGCTGAGCCCTGGAGCGCGTTGAGTTGGGTCTGGGCTGTTTCTCGTGCGTCCCCTGAGCCGGGCTCCGTGCCAGGCACACTTGGACTGCAAGCAGCCCCCCACCATTTCCCTCCCTGTGGCCCCTTTCCCCGGCCCTGGGCATGCGCTGGATCTGTCTCTGCCTAGGGGAAGCTCCGTGCCCGGGACTGGCCGCCCTGTCCATGTGCGGCGGTGGCCCCAGGCCAGCGAGCTGGGGACCATCTCTGTGTGAGCTGGCCACCACGCACACCGGTCGGCTGGGCCTGGGGAGACGCCGAGCAGCTGCACCGTGTTGGCCGGGGTTTTAGAAACAAAGTTCATGACAACACAGCACAGATCACTGGAAGACAATAGTTACGGCCCCCCCTGGGAGTGCTGTATAAGAAAAACACACGTTCATCAGCTAAAAATGCATCCACGTTGCATCGCTGAGGTGGGAAGCGTTTTCCAAACCCTCGGTCAAGAATGTTAATTTTCCCAGAGCAACTTAAGCTTCATGCGAAATTAACCAACAGATAGCTATCTTCCAGGCGATGGGGGCGGCTTTTTCCTATCCCAGAATCTCTTCCTGAGACTCTGCTGCCCCTCAAGTTCAGCCTCGTGTAACTGCCCCGGCTGGGCCAGGCTCAGTCCCACCAGCCAGAGTTGCCCAGGCCCCCAGTGTGAACCCGCTCCGGCCACTCACTGGCCCCCCGGGCTTTGCTTCACCCTTGGTGCTGTCCTCCCAGCTGGCTCAGGACCCAAGTCCCACAGCCTCCTCCAGGGCCACCTTCTGTAGGGAGGAGGGTCATTGAAGGGGGGGAGTGAAGCCTGGCCCTGCCCTGCTGTGCCCACCCCTACCCTGGCCGGGCTGACACCTGTCGGCCACTACAAGATGGGGGCGGCTCGGCCCTTGCCTGGGGTGGGTTATTTATAAGGAGCCAGTGGCAGCTGAGGTGTCCAGAAATAGGCAAGACATCTCTGCCCAGAAACCCAAGACGTGGGTGAGTCGGGTGTGAGAGCCCGGCCCTCCTTGGCCCACAGCGGCCCCCTCGCCCTCGGGCACCCAGGCCCTCCCCAGCTCCTCATATTTCCCTCCTGTCCCCCCGGGCCAGAGTCACATGAGTGCTCCGACACCCCCAGGCAGAGTGACCTCAAGGTCCCCCACTGTGAAGCAGCAAAGGCCCACTCTCCAAGTGGGGAAACTGAGGCACCTGCATTTCTGCTGAGCTCTGTTCCCCTCAGTGTGGCCTGTGTCATCGCCTCTGTGGTGGGGAGGGGCCACAGAGTGTTGGGGGTGTACTGGGGGCAGGGGGTGGCAGTTCAGCAGCTGAGGAGCAAAGCAGGTGTGCAGTTAGTGCCTGTCTCAGAGGGGCCGCATGGAAATAGCCTGTGCGAGTCAGATTCCTGGGGTGCATGTGTCACCCTTCCCTCCTTTGGAGGTGACGGGGCCAGGGCAGGGCGGGGAGACAGGCTGCTCCTCCGTTGCTGTGGCCCCAATCATGCTCCCAGACCTGGTGTCCATCCAACCAATCTTTGCTTTGCTCCATGTTCTCCCATGGACTTCAGGAGGGGCGACCAAGCCCTGATCAGACGGCACAAGTCAGGGGGACTGTGTCCAGGGCAGGGAGGCTGGGCAGGGCATCTTTAAGCGCCTGCTCCCCCAGCCTGCAGCCAGGGACAAGATGGGGCCCAGCCCCTCACCCCTCACTCCTGCCCCATCCTGCCTCAGCCCAGCCCCTGTCCATTCTGTCCTGCACCTCCAGACACTGGCCCCCAAGGCGGCGTGGGCTTTAGATGCCTCCAATCCGACGCACTCCTGGGATGGCCTTCCATGAGCCCCTGCCCTCCTGCTCCTGTTTTTGTCTCTACAAAACGGTGGTGTTGGAGACCCAGGCTTCGTGAGCGGCACGGAAGGCCAGGATGGGCCCGGGCAAATGTCTGCGTGGCAGCCGCAAGCCGTCAGCCTGAGCCTTGGCAGGTCCCCTGCTCCGCCTCCGACTGAGCGCGCACGCTGCGCCACCCTGCCTCACCACTTCGGTCCATTCCCTCACACTGGGCTTCCCTGAGCCCGACTTTTTCCCTCCTGGCCTCCACATCCCGCCTTCCTCTGCATCTTCCTGGTGCCGAGACCATCACGCCACTGTGTCCACACCCCAGACTCTCCGGGCTCCGAAGCAGCTGCTTGGGAGCCCTGAGCCATGGGGCTTCAAGTTGAGATGCTTGGCACCGCACGGTCCAGGGACCTTGGCGCCCCAGGACCCCAGAGTGTCCCCGAAACGAGAGGACATCCACCCACACACGGGAGGCCTTGTTGGCCCCATCAGCCCCGTCGGCCCCAGTCCTGGGCAGCCGCTCCTGCCCATACCCACCTGTGGGTCTCGTGTGAGAAGCGCTGGAGCTCCCTGTGGACAGGACCGGCTGCAGGCACTGGCGCCCGGCTCCGGGACTCGTGTTATAGTGACATTTGATCTTCCCAGAAGCCCATTGGCCAGTGGCTGGGTGGCTGGGGTGTGTGGGGAGTCACGGGGGGGTGGGTGCTGTGCCCATGCAGGCCCCTTACCAAGTATAGGAATGGCCAGAGAAGGAGGCTGAAGGAGGCCGGGATGCCGAGGACATGCTTGGAGAAGGAGGCAAGGTCCCCCCTCCGCTTCTAGGAGCTGTCAGCTTCTATTTTTACTCCCAGCAGCGGGCACATTCTTGATGGGCTGAGGAGGGGAGGAGGAGGGTGCTGGGGAGCCCTGGGGCACAAAGCCGAGGGCTGTCTCTGGGCCAAACTGGTGTGGGGGTCACCAGAGCTGGGCCCCCACTAGTTTCCCAGTCCACCTGCCCCATCTCTCTGAGATGTCCTGTGGGAGGAAACGTTTTGTCCAGGAAAAAGGTCTGCGCAGCCCGGGTTCCCTCCCGCCATTGCCCCAGGCCCCTCCTGCCTCCCCCAGGGGAGGAAGCAGCCCACGGTCTGGGAGACCCCCATGGAACTGAGGCCAGGCTCCCATCGACTCCCCTTTGGAGGCCAGCTCTGCCTCCCCGGGTGGACGCCGTTGGGGCTCCCACAGCAAGTGGGCGAGAGACACAGCCAGGCTGGCCGCACCCTGAGTCTGCTGTCCTCCCTGGGGCTGGTGCTGTTGGAGGGGGCTGGCCCTGGAGCTCGATGGGTGAGGGTCTGGGCCCTCCCTCCAGGTCCTGTCTCACGCTGGGGCCCTGGGGCCCTGGGCATTCATGGTGGCCGTTACTGTCAGTGCCACCATGTCTTGCAGGCTCCGTGTGGCTCGGAGACCAGCTTTCTTCCCTCAGGACTCCAGGTGGCACCGTCCGACCGGCAGACTCCCTTCCCGGCTTCCGCTGGCCCCTCCGCTGGCCAGTGAAGCCACCAGCTTGGATGGCCCTGCCTCTTGGATCAGGGAAACTGAGGCACCAAGTTGGGGAGAGCAGTCTGTCACCTGACTCACCCCCTCACTCCGGCCAGACCCCACAGACTGAGCGTGGGTGGTGGTGTCTGTGGAACTGTCGGGTTCAGGCAAGGTTGGTTCCTTTTTGGCCGGTGCCCAGGACAGGGGTGAGCCCCAAGAGGTGCAGATGAGGTCCCTGTTCTCCCCGGGCTTGGAGTCAGGGACATCGGGACAACCCAGCAGAGGCTCACAGTGTTGGGGGCCAGGTCGGGGCTTCCGGAAGGCCTTGTGTGGCACCTCATCAACCCCTCCATGGAAGAGGAAGGCCGCAGAGCCTGGGGACAGGCAGGGTGTGCCTGAGGTTACATCACAAGGCGGGGTGGCCCCAGGCTGCCGGCTCAAAGGAAAGAGCCTGTGCCTTGGCTGTCTCCCGCTTTGTGCCGGCCGCTGGGAAAGCTCTTGGAGCTGGAGTTGCTGGGAACAACCCTGTCCTCCTGCTCTGGGTCTGTGGCTTCCTCCGTACTGCCCGCCTTCCCCTCCCCACCCGTGTCCTCGTGGGCAAGCCTTTGGGGGGCCACGTACATCCCTGGTCCCTGGACATCTGTGACCAGCTTTCTGCCCAATGGGGACATCTGCAGAGTTGCTCCCTCAGAGGCACCTCAGCGGGCCCCTGGGGGTCGCTGGCCCACCCGTCCTCTCCCATGGTGGGGCCAACCTCCCTTCTAGGCTGGCTCCTCTAACAGAACCCGGAGCCCACCATTGTGGTTACACGTGGCTCAGTCTGCAGGCTTCGCTAGAGCTTGACCTGGGAAGCCAGTGCCAACCCAAGCCCTCACCCAGGCCAGGGGTCCTGAGGGGCACACCTGCAGGTGGGCATGCCATCGCCCTGCACTGGCCCTGTGTGGCCAGCAGAGGAGGGTGCTGCCCGCCCAGCTCCTCTGGCTTTGGCAGGCGCTCTCCTCCCAGCCCGCTGAGGTCAGAGGGACAGGGCAGGTTTTATTTTGGGTATCAGCGACCTCCCGCTCAGGGCACGAGCCTGAGGCGTAGCAGGGACTGCACAGAGCAGGCACCGGCAGCCACGAGGGCCTGCACCAGGTAACCGCACCCTGCTGCCATCTGCCTGACCAGGGTGGTCCGAGGAGAGGAGGCAGGACGGTGGCCTCCTGGGGCCACTGTAGACCTGGGTGGGAGCACAGCACAAGGGAGGCTCAGCCTGGGTGGGGGTGGGGACGCATTTCCACCCAGGAGGAGTCTGAGGATGGACCACGGGGCATTGGGCCCAGGGCAGTTGTGGGGAGTGAGGGGGGGTTCTGAAATTGGCAAATACTGAGTCGAGTCCAGGGATTGGGGAGCAGGCTGTGGGAGGGGGGACGGCCTCCTGAGTGTCTTGGCTCCATCTCCCTGCCTGGGTGACGCCTAATGGTGGAGACTGGGCCAGGGCCCCTCCATCTAGGTCCCGGTAGCCAGTGCCCATGGTTGGGGGTGGCGGAGACCGAGAGGGTCCTGAGCGTCTCCTGGTGCCCTGAACTGACCTGAGCCCAAGCTGGTTCAAGCCTGAGGCCACTTGGCCCAGCTGTGGGCTCAGCACTGCCAGGCCCAGCACAGGAGCAGCTGACACAGCGCTTGGGGACTGAGCTGCTTCAACCCCAGGTAGCTGCCTCCCCACAGGCCTGGTGCTTTGGATTTTGCAGATTCATTGACTTGTTCTGCAGATATGTTGGGCATCTTCTGTTCAGGGCTGGCCTAGAAGCCTGTAGCGGGTGTCACAGGGTGTCAGGTGGCTGCCTCTGCCAGCTGCCCTTGGTCACCATCCCCTCCAGATTGGGTGGGAAAGGAAGGGAGTGTGGTCACCAGGTGGCTACCCAGCAGGGCAGGGTGACCTCGATGCTCTCTCAGTGGCCAGGGCATCCGAGAAAGGATGGGGGCAGGTCACCTCCCTTGCGTGGGTGGTGGCTCTGTCGAGGCTTCACTTTTCTGGACTGTGTGTATTCGTGGGATAGGCAGGATTTGACATGCAGCCTTCAGAAAATAGTGGCTCTGAGGAGCCGAGGGAATGGCAGTGAAGTCCAGGACATCAGAGGTGGGGGCCTGCTCCTCACAGGGGCTTCCCGGACACTGAGGGTTGCCGGGCTGAGTGTCAGGCCCCAGTGCAGGACCTGGGAGAGGAGGGAGAGGAGGGAGAGGAGGGAGGATGTCCCCAGGCTGTCTGCTATTTCACACAGTTGTCCATTCATCCACCCATCTATTCATTCCAACACATTCACTCTCACTTTCACCACTTCCTTTCCTTCCTCCTTCTCTTCCATCAACCATCTCTCTGTGTGTCCATCCCTCCATCCATCCATCCATCCACCCATCTACCATCCACTCATCTATCCCTCCATTCATCCATCCCTCCACCCATCTATCCATCCTTCATCTATCCATCCATTCATCCATTATTCCACCCACCTATCCATCCATCTATCCATCCATCTCTTCATCCATCCATCTACCATCCACTCATCCATCCCTCCATCCATCCATCTATCCATTTACTCACCTATCATCCGTCCATCCCTTCATCCATCCATTCACCTACCCATCCACTCATCCATCCCTCCATTCACCAACCTATCCATTCACTCAGTCACCTGTCTATCATCCATCCCATCATCCACCCATTCATCTACCTAGCCACACATCCATCTCCCATTCACACATTCACCTATCCATCCATCCAACCACCTACCCATCCCTTCATTTATCCCTCCTTACTTTCATCCAACCATTCATCCATCCATCCATTCATCCACCTGCCTACCCATTCACTCACTAATCCCTCCCTCTATCCCTCCCTCCAGCCCTCCCTCCTTCTCTCTATTCATCTATCCATCTACCCACCCACTCATCCATCCCTCCATTCATTCATCCACCTATCCATTCACTAATCCATCCATCTATCCATCCATCCTTCCACTCGCCCGTCCATTCACCCACCTATTCACCCACTCATCCAGCCATCCGCCCACCCACATTCACTAATCCATACGTTCCTCTATCCACTCATCCATCCCCTATTCATCCACTCATCCATCCCTTCACTCACCCACCCAACCATTCATCCACTCACCCACCTACCCATCCATCCACCCACCTGTCCATCCATTCATCCATCCATTCATCCACCCACCTACCCGCCCATCCATCCACCCACCTATCCATTCATCCATCCATTCATCCACCCACCTACCCGCCCATCCATCCACCCACCTATCCATTCATCCATCCATTCATCCACCCACCTACCCACCCATCCATCCCCCCACCCATCCACCCATTTGTCTGTTTACCAAACCTTCACTGAGCACCTCCTGGGTAGTGTTGGGGGAGGCCCCAGAGGTGGCACTTGCCTTCCGTGGGTGCACAGTCAGGGCACAGAAGTTTGTATTGGGCTAGTCATGGTGGGGGTAGGATGTCACAGACATTCTGGAAAAGGCAGCCTGGACCCCACCCACTGTGGGCTGCCACAGAACTTGTGTCCTGGAGCCTCACACTGCAAAGGCCATGAGCCGGGTCAGACTGCCTGAACCCAGAGATCACAATCTGCTCTGCCGTGTGGGGACAGGCTGGCCACTGGCCCAGCCTTTCCATCCTGGCCAGCCCTGCCCCTTTAGTGAGTACAAGACAGCCAGCACACGGGAATACACAGGGAGCTTTATTACACAAATGGCGGGGTGGGGGCAGCAAGCAAAGAGTGGGGGGACCTCAGCCTCAAGCCTCCTGCATGGCCGCAGTCAGCTCTTGATCTGGTTTCCCCTCGGATCTGGGGGGTGACCTGCCCTCTCTGCACAGGCTGTGACTCAACCTCTTACCTTCCTAGAAGGCACTTGGCCTCTCCAGGGGTAAGTCCCTTTGGCCAATGATCAGGAGTTTCTTTCCTCCCCCAAGTAATGAGAAGTAGAGCTGGGTGGGTGCAGGGCAGGCGGGCGGTCAGAGAGTGGAAGGGCAGGGAGGCTGAAGGGTCCAGGAGCAAAAGGAGGTGGCAGCAGGGGGCATCAAAGAGGCGAGGGTAGGCCATGCTGGTAACAGGAAGCGACTTCTTAGCCAGGGCAGGGGGCGGGTGTCTGGCCGGAATCTCCCCTGGGTACATGGAGGGTGCCACCCGGCTGGACCTGCAGACCCAGGAAGCTGGAACATAGGCATGGGGTGCAGGGAGCATTAGGCTTGGGTCCGTGGAAGGGCTGCAGACCTACCTCCTGCACCCCACAGAGGCTTCCCCCCAAGCCTCTGTCTGCCTGCAACCCCTCTCCACCACGGGAGAAGACTCCCTGCCTCAGAGGCCTGCTTCCCAGGGTGAGCACTTCTGCCCTGGGTCAGGGCCTCTCACTGGAGACCTGACTCCAGGTGGAGGGAAGGCAGCCTGCCTGCCAGCCAGCCTGCCCACCCCAGGAGCTAGAATTGGGGTTCCCGTGGTTCCTGCAGTCCTGTCATCTGGAGGCGGCCAGCAGCTGAGAGCAAGTCCTGGGCGGGCTCCTTCTGCCCCCACCCCTCCAGCAGCTCTGTTCCTGCCTGGGCAGAGCCAGCCCCAGCAGCAGCCCCCAGGCCTCCCTCCTTCCCCAAACCAGACAGCCTCTGGCTCGGCCCAGATGCCATTTGTCAATGTCCTTGCACACACGTGGCGCCCAGAAACCAGGGTGGGCGGCTTGGCCGGACCACCCCAGCCAGGAGGTCTGCGGGAATATCCCATTTAGCATAGCTCAGCGAAAACTGCTCCCACCTTCCGGCCGATCTACCTCTGATGATGCAGCCTCAGCTTTCCCGAGCCTCTTGGCCGCCACCCCTCACCGCTGGCTCGCAGCGGACGCGCCTGTGGTTGGGCCGGAGACGGCTGGGCGCCCCTCACGTGTCTGCGGGCAGCTGCTCTTCCAGCCCTGGGCCCGGCCGGCAGCTGGCCAGGGGCACGCCTCTCACTCAGGGCTCCCCCGAGTCTTCCGCCCCAGCCCACGCGGCACTGTGGCCTGACCCGGGCTGTGCACTTGGGGCCTGCTTTGTGCCAGGGTGACATGCAGGATGGAGCCCCGAGGCAGGGTCCAGCCCCGTCCTTTGAGGAACTGGGTGCCTCGTTTCTACATTAGGGTGATGGTGGGGCCACCCCAAAGTCCCCAAGATGCAGTCAAGCCCAGGACGCCCCCGGCAGGTTCTGGGTGCACAGGAAGCAGAATGCTCAGGTCTCCACACCTCTGGGCCCAGGTTCTCCCTGGACCACGTGAGACACAGGCCTCCCACCTTGGGAGGGAGGAGGGCTGGCCTGACTGCTGTCCCTTTCACCCCAGGACACAGCCATGCTCATCTCAGCTTCGTCGATGGCACCCGAGGTGGGTGGCCCGAGCGTCCGAGGGACCCCTGGACCCCCACCACCCCTGCTGCCTAAGCCAGGGAAGGATAACCTTCGTCTGCAGAAGCTGCTGAGGAAGGCGGCCCGGAGGAGGATGACAGGGAATGTGCACCTCACCCCACCCGGGGCCTTCCGCACCTCCCTGTCCCCCGTGAGTGAGGCCAGCCATGACCAGGAGGCTGCAGCCCCGCACACTGCAGAAAGCCCGCATCCCGCCGAAGCCCCGAGCCCTCCTGAAGCCCAGAGCCACGCCGAGCCGCCCCGCATGGTGGCTGCCCCACCCCACTCTCCGCACACCCCCATCATCCACCACGTGGCATCACCCCTGCAGAAGTCCACCTTCTCCTTCAACCTCACCCAGCGCAGGATTCTAGCTGCTCACTTCAAGGCCACGGGGTCCCAGGTTGTAGCCCCGGCCCCAGAACCTGCCCGGCCCCCCAGTGGCTTCGTCCCTGTCTCAGCCCCAGTGGCTGGGGGCACCCACATCACCCAGGTGCACATCCGGCTGGCACCATCTCCACACGATGGGACCCAGGAGCCCCCCAAGACAGACCCGGAAGGGGGATCCCACAGCCGGGATGGAGACAAAGCCCCATGTCACCCCAGAGCCCAGGGCCCAGTCCCAGTGGCTCATATCCGCCCGCTGCCCACCGCAGCCCAGGCTGCCAGACCCTCGCCTGAGGAGCCCCTTGTACCCCGACTGCCACCTGGCTTCCAGGCCTCGGTGCCCAGAGAGGCGAGTGCCAGGGTTGTGGTGCCCATAGCCCCGACCTGCCGAGCGCCGGAGCCCTCACGGCATAGCCTGGCCCCCATGGGCCCTGGTGGAGAGCAGCTGGAGGAGCCCCCGGTGGCTGGTCCCACCCCTGAGGCCGAGTGGGTGTCCAGCCCTGCCAGGGCCTCATCCCCTGCGCCACCATCAGGCCCTCACCCATGCCCCATCCCCAAAGTTGCACCCAAGCCCCGGCTCAGTGGCTGGACGTGGCTTAAGAAGCAGCTGCTGGAGGAGACCCAGGAGCCTCTGTGCCCGGGGCCACAGCAGAGCCTGGAGCCAGAGGCGACCGCCCCCACGGAGCAGGAGGTGTCCCGGGCCCCCGCCTCCCAGGCCCCCGCCTCCCGGGCCTCCAGGATGTGGGATGCCGTGCTGTACCGCATGTCGGTGGCAGAGGCTGGAGGGCGCCTGGCCGGGCCCAGCGGTGGGGAGCACACCCCGGCCGGCCTTACCCGCCTGCCCTTCCTGTACCGGCCTCGCTTCAACGCCCGGAAGCTGCAGGAAGCTGCCCGGCCCCCTCCCACAGTCCGCTCCATCCTGGAGCTGAACCCCCAACCCAAGAACTTCAACCGCACGGCAACCGGCTGGAGGCTCCCGTGACGTGGCCGGAACGGCTCCCAGGGCCCAGGACCAAGGAGGGGACAGAAGAGGGGGCTGAGGCTTGAGCTGGGGGCCCACAGTTGCATGAGGATGTGCCAGGGCCCAAGGAGCATGGGTGCAGGGCAGCCTGAGGAGGGCACACGGGTGCTGAGGGAAGTCTGGGTGTCAGGGGGGAGGTAGGTGGACGGGGCAGAGAGGGCGAGCTGGGGCCCCTGGGCTGCAGTGTTGTGAGGGGAACAGAGAAGGGGTCTGCTGGGATGTGGGATGGGGCCTTGGGGTGAAAAGTTTAGGTAAGATGGCAGAGCCTTGCACTACTGACCGAGCCCAGGCTTCTCGGGGGCCCCTGGGCCTCACATTTTTCCTCCCTTTTGCTGTCAAAGGTTTGGGGGCAGATCTCTGCTTGCTGACGCGTGGGCGTGGTCAGGCAGGCTGGGCCATCAGCGCCAGGAGCAGAGTCAGCAGTTTTGTTGCCTGCACTTCCTGATAGCAGAGCCAGACCCTGGGACTGGGGTGCAGGGGGAGCCCCCAGCCAGCGTGGGACTTGGCACCGATACAAGTGCTCGGGGCAGGCAGGGAGGGGCTCATCAGGGGTGGAGGAGGGCCCAGTGTTTCTCCTCTCACGGCCCACCTCTGCTTCCCCGCTTGGACTGACAGCCTGAGGGGGCAGAACTCAAGGGGCTCACTGGTGGGAGAGAGGGTCTCAGCATCGGCCATGCTCAGGGTTTCATGGCTGGAGGAGGGGCTCAGTCCCAGCCCTGCGAGAGCAGCTTGGCCAAGTGGGGCCGAGAAGGGGCTGTGGCCCTGGTCGGGACAGTGGAGGGCCCCAGTAGGCAGTCAGCCAGGCTCTGGGGATGTTGCCAGCCACAGGAGAGGGACTCAGAGGTACCAGAAACAGCCTCTGCTTGAGAGTCGGGGTTTAGCAGGGAAAGGTGGTAGGATGCCAGCTGCCCCACCCTGGGTGGGATGGGTGCTGGAAATGGAGCCCGGGCCCCAGGTCACTAATAAATGTGTGTCTCACCATGGCAGAAGTGGCCCTGCTCTGTCTGCACCATAAGAGGGGGAGGGCATCTGGATCCCTGAATGGCCCTCGGCTGGCACAGGGAGGAGGCCCTAAGTTTCTGCCCCTCTAAGGACCCCCAGCACACAGATGGGCGGGAAGCTGAGCTCCAGGGGCTCCATGCTACCCACTTCCTTCAGTGCTAGCCCTGTGGTGGCGAGGCTGCCCCTCACTTCCCTCATGAGCCCTGCTGGGGCTTTTGGGGAGTCCCAGAAGGGAGACTTGAGCTTCCCTGGTGGAACAGTGGCTGAGCCGGGCTGACTCTGGTGAAGTGAACAGAGTTTGAATCTGGCGTCGGGTGAGGGAGGCAGCGTCTGTCTGCACAGGGCTAGGAGACAGAGCTGGTCTGGGTTCTGGCCAACTCGGAGCCCACCCTTGCAACCTGCAGCAGGGGTCCAGGTCGCCACGTTCCCAGCACGATACACATGTGTGCACCTCATCCTGCTCTGTGGGTTGCCAGGGACTCACCAAGATGGCAGGCCTAGGGCGCTGGGCCCCCCTCCACAAGAACCTTCTCATACTTCCCATGCCCAGTGGCCACAAACTTATACCTCTTCCCAGATGGGGTGCTCTGTTGGGGAAGGAGACCAGGAGTGAAGGTGAGAGCAGCAGAAGGGAGATGAGGCTGCCTCCGCCTCTGGGAAGCCCTCCCAGATGCACAGAGCACAGCCCCTCTTTGCCCTGCCCTACGGCACCCACCCTCCCTGCACCAACCACATGTAGGCTCTACCTTAATTGTTGACGAGGTCTTGGAGCCTCCCTTCTGCTCCCAGAGGCTTTTCTTGCTCATGTCTCCAGCCACAATATCCTGGGGGCAGCAGCAGGACATGTCACAAGGGCAGACCCCTGGATCTCAGGGAATAGAAGCCCTGAGCCCTTCTCTCTTACCTTGCCTTACCTGGCCAGGGGGCCTGGGACCTGCCTACGTACCTTTTTCTGTGCTATCCCAGTGGAAGAGGCAGGGAAAGGAATAAACATACCATCCACCTCCACTTGGCCAGCACACCCATCAACAGCAGCAAGGGTGACCCCACCACCGAAATGCCCCAGTGTTCTGTCTACACACACTGCCTCCTGGACAGTCCCACACTTGCCTTAACAAGGAATCCTGGCCTGCTGCTAAACTCCCAGGCGCTGCCTCTGCAACCCAGCCTTACTCCTGGAGGGCCCTTACCTTGCAGGGTGGTGTCTTGGCCGCAGACTGAGCCGCCTGTACCTCACCGGTCTCCCACAGATTCTTGGTACTGGCCACAGCCATGCTGGGCAGCTCTATGGAGGCCTGGCGGGCTAGCTTGGGGGTCCGGCCAGAGGTCTGCAGAGGAGGCAAGGTACCAGGATTACCTTAGTGGATGGCCACTGTGGACACATCAGAGGGTCACACTGGGCAGCCCTCCACTTTGTCTGTGTGTTTTCCCTGGGAGTGCTTTCCCAATGTAGCCCTAGGGTGGGAATCACTGAAACAATGTGCTTTCCTTGATTCGATGCACTTGTGAGACACCTCCCTGCCCTAAAGAGCGCCAGGGAGGTGACGGCACACAGGACAGATGTGGGTCTGCCTCCAAGCTGCTCAAGGGGTAGGGCCGGGGGACCGTGGGCTGGAGGCATGGGCACTGAGTGGATGGAGGACAGTGGATAGATGGCGGAGTATTGGTTGGATGGAAGAGCATTGATCAGATGGAGGAGTATTGGTTGTATAGAAAGTGTTGATAGATGAAATTATTTTGATCAGATGGAGGAGTACTGATTACATGCAGGAGTATTTGTTAGATGGAGAGGCACTTGACTGAATGGAGTAGCATTGGTTGGGTAGAGCCATATTGGTTCGATGAAGGGCCGTTGATTGAATGGAATGACATTGATTGGATGAAGCAGGATTGGCTGGATGGAGGGCCACTGGTAGGGTGGAAAGGTGCTGACTGGTTGGAGGAGCAGTGAATGAAGGGAGGAGTATTGAATGGGTGGGGAAGTGTTGGTTGGATGAAGGAACATTGATTGGATACAGGAACGCTGATAGGATGGAGGATTGCTGGTTGGACGCAGAGGCATTAATTGGATGCAGGAATGTTGGTTTGATAGGAAGGTGCTGGTTGCATAGAGGAATGTTGATTGGATGGAGGAGCGCATATTGGCCGGGCGAAGGGCTTCTACTGAAATCGGAAGTGTCAGCCGAATGGAGGGGTGCTGACTGGGTGAGGGAGCGGCGTATGGAGGCTGGGGCACTACTTGCACAGAAGAGCACACTAGAATGGAGGAATGCTAGCAGGAAAGAGGGGTGCTTGCTGGATAAATGAGTACCGGGTGGATGGAGGCGCACTGGGTGGTGGAAGCGGCACTGATTTAGCAGGGGAGTATTGGTTGGATGGAAGGATGCTGGTTAGATGGAGAGGTCCTGATTAGAGAAAGCAGGATTGTTTGGATAGAAGGGCATTGATTAGAAGCAGAGGCACTGATTGGATGAAGCTATGTTGGTTGGATGGAGGGGCGTTGATGGAGTGGATAGGGGCACTGGTTGGATGGAGGAACGGTGCTGGGAGGGAGGACAGGCGTGGCAGCAGGGGAGCCGGGTCATACCTCGATGGCCTGGGTGTATTGCTCCAGCCGCTGGTCAATCCTGGAGATGGGCAGGTCTGGCTGGGACTTCTTTACACTGTTACTGGAGGGTAGGCGCGTCAGGCCCCATGTCTCCCCGCGAGGGTCCCCCCTAACCCGCTCGAGCCTCTCCCACAGCCTCCTGTGGTCTCCAGGTCTCCACCCTGTGACTCCCTTCAACCCCTTCTTGGGGAAACCTAAGATCCGAGCCCAGAAAGCAGACAGACAGACAGACAGACCTCTTCTCTATGGAGCGGTTTAGAGACTCGGTCCTGTCGATGAGCTGCGGAGGGTGGAGAGAGACGTGAGCAGGCAGCCGCCGGGGAAAAGCCCCACCCTCCATCCCCCCAGCTACTCCATCCGCCGATCCAGCCCCCAACCCTTATATCACGGGGGTTTGCTGAGCGCCAGGCAACGGGGGAATAATGGACCAAAGCCGGGCCTGGGCCTGGTCTTCCTGTGGCTGGCATGTGGGATTGGCCATTTGGGGATGAGTCCGGGCCAGGGGAGAAGATGGTGGGCTTTGCAGCCTGACCTACTTTGGTGGTGGGGCTCAGGGGAGGCGAGCTGTGTTCAAGGGTCCCCTCCAAGACCAAGGGGCTGGGTGTCCTGGGCTGCTGACATTTCCGGTGCTAGGAAGAAAAACAACCAGACACCCCAGGTGACCCCTGCCTGTACCCCTCCTGCCCCGCCCAGTGCCTGCGGGAACAAATGCTGTCCCCTCCCTGGGCCTCAGGGTCTCCGTGGCCCTGACATGCTCCTGTTCTGGAGTTGGTGGTGAGGGACTGAGGAGTCTGGGGAACTGTGTCCGGAGCTTGCAAGACGGTCCACAAGCCTCACCCTCCCTGAGAATGAGGGCCCAGGAGGGGCTGCAAGGTGGCGGGTGTGGGATGCTGACCCTCTGGGCTAGTGCCATGGGACCCACAGTGGTGTAGACAGCCAAGGCAGACTCATCCTGGGGTGGGGGCACCCAGACCCTCCGAGGTGGAGACATTACCTCTTGTTCCTCCTCTGCCCCGGCGGCCCCCAGGCTGTCCTGGACGGTGTCCTCCAGGTCTGGCCCCTCCTTGCTCAGACTCAACTCCCCCAGGAGGCCTTCATCTCCATCACCCTTTCCGCAGGCATGCGGGCTGGGCCTGGGGGTGGAAACGCAGGCAAAGCCTTTCTAGGGCCATTGGATTGCTTGGTTGACCCCTACCCATTTACAAGCCTCAGTTTCCCATCTGTGAAATAAGGGCAGTCAGGCTCGTTGAGTACCAAGGGGTTTGAGACCCAGCCCGTTGGGTAAGAACGTCCAGCGGCCTCAGAGCCAGTGCCGTCTGCTTGGGCCTCTGTGTCAGGGCCTGAGACTCCTGGGGAACTGCCCCGTCCCCACCAGGCAGGGCCCTACCAACTGAGGGTCCCCCAAGCACAGAGGCTGGGTTCAACCCCCAGCTTTCTGGCTGGGCCCCCGCCTGGCAGCTGCTTGCCCACCGGTTGGTCTGGCAGGGTCCCGGGGTTACGATTCCTGCTCTGCTCGCTGTGGAGGCCTGTGGGTGTTGTGGGGGGCTGGAGCCTGGGTCATCTGGAAGGCCAGGCAGAGGTAGGGGCCAGGTCACTGAGGAGTGGGGCCAAGGGGCTGCCGGCTGCGGGGGAGGGGAGGCCAGCCAGCTGGCAGCTTCCAGCAGCTCTGCATTTGAGCAGGACTGAAGCTGGAGGAGAAGATGGGAAATTCTCGAATTTTCCATGATTTCAGGCCTGTGGGTGTGCATGCCAGCCAAGACCCAGACCCACCCACCCAAGGTGGGCAGGGGTCCGAGCCAGCAGCAGCCACACAGAGGGGCCATTCAGGAGCAGCGCCTTGTGGCCAGGCAGGTGGGGGGGTGGGGTGGCAGCCGCAGAGCTGGGCTCCACCGAAGAGTCAAAGTGCCCCCTGCTGTTGGGAGCAGCCTTGCCTGCCAAGGCCTGAGGCCAGAGAGAAGGGAGCTGCCCCATCTCAGAAATTCGAGGCCTCTGACTCCCAGGCGCCTATGGGGAAACCGAGGCCTGGGGAGGGGGCAGTGGGCACTGGGCCGGGCCAGGACCAGGGGCTCTTGTGGAGTGGGAGTCTGGTTGTAGCAGGAGAAGGGAGCGCTGCTCAGCAATACCAGCCCCTAGAGCTCCAGGGGGTCTCAGAGGGGCCGGGACGACCAGGGAGAACTGCCACTCAGCCACGGGCCCTGGTCCCACTCAAGGCCAGGGGGTCCTGAACAGGGCTGGAGTTGGACCCATCGTGGCCGCAGCAGACTGAGACGGCAGGACCCCTGAGTGTGGGTAGTGAGGTGGGGCTCGGGAGCAGCCCCTCTCGGGCCTGCTGGGGTTAAGGCAGGCACACACATCCACACATCTGGAAACCGCGTCCCCCCCTGGCCGACTCTCCGGCGCGCACATCTGGAAATACCTGCTCCCCTCCGTGGGAATGGAGATCAGCCAGCCCCGAGGGAGGAAGGGGCGGCGGCAGGCTCTCAGCCTCCATTACAGAAGCGGCCGCAGCTGTGTGCTGATGTGGCAGCACACGCCCGGCCCGCAGCTGCCTGGATGGGGCCCAGGGGCTCTGGGGAGCCCCGGAATGAGGTTTCCTCGAGGCCCCTTGCAGGCCGCCATGCTGTCTCGCCCTCTTCCTCCCTCCCCTTCTTTCTCCCCCTTTCCTGGCCATGGGGGCATTTCAGGGGCTGCTTGGAAAGGGGAGCATGGGGTGGCTGCTCAGGCTTAGGCTGGGGGCCCAGAGGGAGCCCCGCTCTGCCCAGCGCCCACCCTGAGACCCCCACTCACCTGTCCTCTTGCTCCCCTTCAGGACCCCTGCACCGGGAGGGCTCTCCAGTGTCTGGGGTGCCCTGGGCCCCCTCGCGCTGCTGCTGCTCTGCCTTCTGGGACCAGTCACCAAAGCCCTCATCCTCATCCAGTTCAGGGGCCTCCGAGGCCTTCAGGCTGAGGCTGAGGGTGGCAGGAGGGAGCTTAGGACTGGGTGGTTGCTATCTCCTCCTCCCGGAGGTACCAGTCACTTCATGGTGCCTGCTCAGGCCCTGGGCTCCAAGTGTGGGGGCCCCTGTGTGCCAGAGAGCTGGCTCTGGGCTGTGTCTCCTGTGGTCAGAGTATCCCTGAGGGTAGGGCTGTGCCTCCCCCATCAGTCTGGGGCTCCCTTAGGGGCAGGGTTGTGCCTCCTCCATCAGTGTGGGGCTCCATGAGGGCAGGGCTGTGCCTTCTCCATCAGTCTGGGGCACTCTGAGGGCAGGATTATGCCTCCTCCATCAGTTTGGGGGTCCCCGAGGGTAAGGCTGTGCCTTTTTTATCGGTGTGGGGCTCCCCGAGGGTTGAGCTGTGCCTCCTCCATCAGTTTAGGACTTCCTGAGGGCAGGGCGGTGACTCCCCTGTCAGCCTGTGACTCCTTAAGAGCAGGGCTATGCCTCCCCCATCAGTCTGGGGCTCCTGAGGGTAGGTCTGTGCTTCCCCCATCATCCTGAGGCTCCCCAAGGGCTGCCCTGGCCCCCAGGCTCCTCCCAAACCCCAACTTCTCAGGCCTCCCTTGTGGTGGGGTGAGCCCTGGAGAGCTGGGGCTCTTGGTGGGATGGCCGAGGGCCGAACCATGGTGACCGCTGCACCCCACTCTGCTCAAGGCTGCTGACTCGGAGAAATGGAACAAAAGAGGCCGGGAGGAAGGGGAGCATTATTGCAAAAACAGCCCAGCCCAGCCGTGGAGGCCTCCTGGGCCCAGGGAGGAAGCAAGCCAGCCTGGCCGCCAAGTTGGACGTGGCTCTGTGAGTCACTGGCGGGGGAGTCTGGTGGGGGGCCCGGGCCAGGACACGTGGCCGGGGTCAGAGGCAGTCCAAGCAAGGACCAGAGTGGGGGCGCAGAGCCTGGTTCAGCACCCCGGAGGCAGCCAGGCATTGGCAGACCCTCACCCAGGGCTTCGGCTACCCTCGCCCCAGCAGCACTCGCCCACCCCGCGCCTGCTCCTGGGGCCCTTCCTCGCTGTCCTACGCTGGGCCCCCCCAAGAACAGTCCCTGGACCTCCCCCCTGCCCAGGCCCCAGGGTGCACAGATAGGGGCTGGTGCCCAAGGCTGCGGGCGGGGCTGCTCACAGTGTCTCCTGCTCTGGCTGTTCAGGGACATGGCCGCCTCCGTCCTCATCCTGGTCCTGCGGCTGCCTGTCTCGCTCATGCTGGCACTGTTCTGGGGCGGCCTCCCCCTTGTCCTCCACGCTCCACTGAGCTGTGAGCCTGGTGCGGGACACAGTGGACAGTCACGCCACAGTCACGACAGGCACTGCTTTGCACCCGCTGCTCCTGTCTATGCAGGCCTTACTGGGGCCACACGGTGGGGGCAGCCCTGGTCCACAGGACAGTCCCAGGCCGGCCCTCGGGCTTCACCTCGTCCATCTTTAAATAGAGGCTGGGCACGTGGTCACGAGGTGCCCTTTGGCCCAGGCAAGGGTCCCAGGGCCCTGTGAGGATCTGGGCCCCCTGTGCCCTCGGGGGCCCGTTCAGGCCTGAAGAAACAGGACAAAGGCCCTCTGTCCCCCTCTCCCAGCCTGCCCCTCCCTCATTAGAGCCAGAGCCCAGACCCAGCTGACCCTGGAGGGCCCGGAAGAGGATACCGGTGTCCAGGGAGACTGGCCGCAGCGTATCGCCTGGCGCCACCTCCAATCCCCCTGCAGGTGCTCCATCTTGCACCCCAAAGGCAGACTGTGTTGGGGAGAGGGGCCCCCCATGAGGCCCAAGGCTGAGGAAGGGAGAGCCTGCCAGCCAGGCAGACAGCTCCCATCCCACCACCAGCTCTGCTTAGAGAAGCCCTGGGCTCCTGCCTGGGCCTAATCCCATAGCTGGGGGGACCTTACGGGGTCGGCTCACCCAACCACACCCCATCCTGATTTCAGAGTCCTCTGCGGAGTCTCTCTGAGCTGTTTCTTTTCTTTTTTTTTTTTCTCTGAGCTGTTTCTTTATTGCTGTTGTTTGAGGCAGAGTTTTACTCTTGTTGCCCAGGCTGGAGTGCAATGGTGCGATCTCAGCTCACTGCAGCCTCCGCCTCCTGAGTTCAAGCGATTCTCCTGCCTCAGCCTCCCAAGTAGCTGGGATCACAGGCAAGTGCCACCATGCCCAGCTAATTTTGTATTGTTTATTAGAGATGGAATGTCTCTGTGTTGGTCAGGCTGGTCTCGAACTCCTGACCTCAGGTGATCCGCCCACCTCAGCCTCCCAAAATTGCGCCCGGTCGATTGAGCTGTTTCAAAGATGGGAAAACTGAGGTAAGGGAGCACTTCTGCTCTCAAAGCCTGACACCATGGCTTCTCAGGGTCTCACACGCCCCGATTGGGGACAGAGGAAGACACAGGCTAGCCTGTACTTGGGGGTCAGAGCCCCTGCCCAGCAGCTCTCAGATGGCCCAGGTCCTGCAGACACTGGGGCCTCAGCTGTCACAGTCCTGCCTCCCACCGCCCTCCTAGAGCCTGAGGGGGGGTCCAGGGTCTCTACCATCCTACAGGGGTTATTATCCCAGATCCAGGGAGGGAGCCCAGGCCAGAACAAGGAGCAGAGCTGGGGTCTCTCTGCTGGGGTCTCTGTTCTTCCCGGCCAGTGTCCGCTGCCTGACCCTGCAGCCGGATCCCCACCGGGCCCCCGTCCCCTGGCCAGAAAGTGTGTTCTGCCAGAGCATGATCTAATCTCGCGTAGTCTCCCCTAAGCCTCTCAGACAAAAGCCAGGCCCTTCTGCAGGCCCATGTTCAAGGCCCACTCCCCCCACCGAAGCCACAGGGGACTCCAGCCACGCAAACCCAGCCGCCTGTGCACCCGCCCCCTGCACTCCCGAATCCGCCCGCCTGTCCTGCTCCTCAGAAGTGCCTTCAACTCCCAGCCCCCGAGGAAGCCACTTAATTCCCCACACCTGGCTCCCATCATCCGGGCAGATGAGGCCGGGCTTCCCGCCACTGCTGGCCTCAGCAGGGCTGGGGGGTGCTGGGCTTCATTCCACTTGGGGAGGCAGAGCTTGGGGGTGCAGAGGCCCTTGTGCTCACTCATGACCCTCCACACCCAGGCTGGCACAGAGCTGGGGCAGAGTGTTGAGGAGGGGGAGGGCCTCCATAGAGGGGAGTTTGGCCATGTGGCTCCCTGGTTCCCACGTCCCAGCCTCTCCATGTGGGCTAGGGCTCAGCTGGGGTGTGTGCCCCGGGCGTGGGGCATGAGATGGAGCCCCAGCTTGTCCTCGGACTTGGGCTCCCGGTGGGGCCAGGGCACTCACTCCAGCTCCACTGACCCCCTCCACCAAGCCGTGGAGAGAGCAGGGCTGGGGAGCACACATTAGTGAAGAGATCCCAGGTGCTCGTGCACACATCTCCTCGGGTCCACCCCTGTGGGCAGCAAGTCCAGGCCCTGACAGCCCCACAGAGGCCCTCGCTCTGCTCACGGCTCATGCCCAGCACACGGAGCGCGGCCCGCATCGGGAGTCCCCAGGCCAGGGGCACACGCAGGGACACACTGGCTGAAGCACGTTCTCCAAGAGCCCAGGCTCCGGTCACACAGGCATACACGCCCGAGCCCCAGGCACATGCAAGAATGCACGCGCTCACCCACAGCAACACCTGACATCCACACGCGTGTGCAGGCAGGCTTGGGAACAACGGGACCACGTCCCCTCCAGGGATCCCTGCAGGGCGCCGCAGCCTTGCTTTCGGGAGGCAAACATTTACTGTTTGCCTTGCATCGCCCTGACAACGGCAGTGCCGGCCCTGGCAGGAGGCCAAGGTGTGCGCTCTGGGAACCTCATCCCTGCCGAGCTGGGCCCCTCAACGATCACCCCGACTGAGCTCTCCCTGGCGAGGGTCCTGGGGACAGAGTGGGGGTGCAGGGAAAGCATTTCCTGCCAGTGTCTCTCCTAAAACCTAATGCTGGGGAGAAGCCCTGCCGGCCCCTGGCCCCTGACCCAGCAGCCTGAGGACGAGGAGGCCTCTGGGCCCCCTTCCCCATGTCCTCCCTTTCCGCCTGCCCCAGGATATGAGTAATGCGGGCCCCCTCCCCATGACCTCACCCCCTCACTATTCCACAGCTGGGCTCCGTTCTGGGAACTGGAAGGGGGACAGCTCTCCTGGGGTGGGGTGGGGGCCTCTGGCCTGGGAAAGGCGCCCCCCGGCCAGCAGCCCAGGCCCCTTGGCAGGCTGGGATGTCAGGACTCTGGGATGGCCGACCTGCCTGTGGCCCTGGCTCAGCCCCGTGCAGCTGCGAGGGATTTGGTGTTCCTGCGCAAATGCAATTAGGCGATTTCCTGTGTCTGTTCTGGCTCCAAGGCCCAGGGTTCAGCCCAAGGGGCCAGGCGGTGGGGAGGCTCCATCCATCTACTTCCTACTCTGGTGCACCCCCACACCCTCACAGTCCCAGGCTCCACTTCGAGCCTTGGCCCCCAGCCAAGGACACCAGTATGCACAGAACTCTGATGGAAGCCTCGTTCTGAGTGGGGCTCCCTAAGCTCAGGTCTGTTCTGGCTGGCCTTATCCACAAACCACCACCCCCGACTGGGGACACCAGCCCTTCTTCTCCTTCCTCCACAGCCCCCTGACTTCTACCTCCCAGTCTCCACCAAGGGCCCAACAATGCTTGTCCTCAGCCCAGCACACCCAGCTGCCTCTATCGTTCCCCTGCAGATACTTCCAGAATGAGCGTGGGGCTCAGTCCCTGTCCAGACTCTACCCCCTGCAGACAGCCCCTGTGGCCGCCCCACCTGGCTGTCCTGAGCCCAGAGGCCGGTGGAGAGGGTCCTTTTTGGAGTCCTGGGGAGTGAGGAGGCTCTCTCAAGGAGTGGGGTCTGCAGGGAGGATGTCGAGGGGGAGCTCCTCCCTCAGGCCTGACAACAGGTCCCCTGGACACCACAGGAAGCTGGCAGGAGGCCTGAGGAGCTGGGGAGTCTCCCACCAGGGTGGCTTGGGGCTCCCTGCACAGCACCGAGGTCTCTGGTTCCCTCATGAGCCCAGCTTCCCCTGGGGTTATAGACTTGTCCCTCAAGTCACTGCAGAGCCCAAGAACAGAGAGACACAGCACAGTGTGGAGGCAAAAGGTGCCCACAGGGGCCGTTCCTGGCTGAGGCTTCCAGAGGGCAGTGGGATAGCAACCCTGAGTGCCCCTGCCACCGCCAGCTGCCTACCATGGCATTCATGACACGGGCTTCGGAGTGTGAGTCGGGCTCTATCTAGCAAGCCAGGGCTGTCGGCTGGCCCCTGGGTTGTGCAACGTATGGGGGTCCTGCCCCAGGGAGGGGGCAGCCCAGGGAGGGGCCCGAGGGTGTGACACGGCCAAGCTGTCACTCCTCCCCGGAGAGGCAGCTGGGAACGCAGCTGGGAGGGGAGCCAGGAGCGGACACAGCCTGGGGCCAGCAGGTGGGTAACAGGTGGGGCAGTGGGAGGGGCATGCACCATCCGCCTAGGGCTGGGGTGTAGAGATGGAAACCTGTCCCCCAACACCTGGCGAAGACCCAGCCTCCCCCTAGGGCCTCGAGCACCTTCCCAGTTGTGCCTGCACCCTGCAGGTGGAAGCCAACCCTTTTCCTTGTAGTCTGGGGCCAGTGGAAGAGGGAGATAGATACCCCAGTGAGCAGGATCCTAGCCTCTGCCTGGTGAGGCCAGGAAATGAGCCACCAGGAAGAGGGAGCTGCTCTCTCTGTGCAGTTGGAGCGGGGAAGCAAGGGTCTCCGAGCCCCCCCCCCCCCGCCGGAGCCACCAGAGTTATGGTTCAGGAGGAGCCGCTCTGGCTAGCTGCACTGGGGAGACCTGGGAGCAAGAGCAGCCTGGAGAGCAGCAGGGACCCCCTCGGGGACACGCCGCCACCTGGGGGAGGCCTGGTGGCAGGAGGCCTCAGCCGGGCCCTTCGGGCTGGGTGACTTCTGCAAGACATTGAAGGCAGTGGCCTGAGATGGTGGGAGGTGACTGAGAGCAGCCATAGCCAGAGAAGCTGAGCCTGAGAGCACAGGGGAAGGTCTAGCAGGCCAGGGCCCCCATCCCAAGCACGAGGCTTCTGCCTGTCTCCCCTGGGCCAATGGGGCCTCACGCGAAGGGTGCCTTCCGTGGCCTAAGGCTGGTTCCCCAGTGGAACGCCTGCATCCAGGCAGAAAGGGGAGCACAGAAGCGAGAGCCCGAGACCCAGCCCCCTCCGCCAGGGTCCCTGGCCCGCCTTGTCCCCAGTGCTGGCAGCGCCGACAGCCAGACAGCCGCTCTGGGCCTGAGTCCCTGTCTGCAAGGGCC